ACCCGGGGACTGCCTGTATTTACCCCATCTCCAGTGAAGTGAAAGGACTATTTTATCAAAGGTCACTTATGTTTCATTCTGTAATATGTGCATGCTTTGATTATCCAACCCCCATTCTTTCCAAAGGTCTTGGATATTTCCAGGGGAAACAGTTTTTGTACACATCATCAATTTTTATTTTTTTTAAATACTATTTATTTTAGTAATGTTAAAGATCCTGTGTTTAGGGGTGGCTTTTAACTACAAAACATGGGGGTAAGGTCTGAAAATATTTCCAGTAATGTGGTTGAGACATCCTAAGAGAAACCTCTGCAACACTAAGCAAAAACCTCACTGTTTATTTCTAGTTTCTAGCACCTTACTAACCCTTCTTTCATAAAACCACAGAACGTGTACAATGTAGCACTCTAACTATAGCAGGTCTGGGCTTAAACAATGCAACCTCAAGAGCAGAATTTGCGTGACATGGGACACCTAGTAGCTTTGAAGCAACAGGTTCTGAGAAGTTTGCTCACACCCCAAAGTCTTAGAAATGATGGATAGTGAAAGAAGCAGAGCAATTGTAGGCAGACTTATGTTGCAGAATGTAACATCCAGGGCTTTATTACTTTTACATTTAATTTTCTATTAGCAATGGGAAAATGAGACAGAATCCTGTAACCCTATGAATGTTTAATGTCTTGATAACTTTAAAATGTGATTCAACATTACTAATCCTTCAGAAATCTAAAGAAGATTAATAATCAGCCCTCTACCTCAAACCCATTTAATTATGAATAATATTTGCATTTCTATAGCACCTTTTATTCCAAAGAGCTTTGCAAATTGTGGGCCCCATTCTTCAAATGTACGCATACATTAGCAGTCCTTACATGGTAGTTCAGAGAGAGTGTGTGTGAGAAATGCAGCTACCTCTGGTGTGGAAGGCAGCAGTTACCAAGTGCACAGCATAATGCACAACTATAGACAAGAGGTGTATTTTAGACATGACACCGCTGCAATCTTTAATTTTAAATGCTAGGAGATCTTAAAGTCCGTGTACATCACAGCCCAAAGGACCTCAGATTTTAAAGTCATGTCCAAAAGAATTCACATGCTACATGGAATGTACTTTATCTCAGAAAAAAGAAGCGTTGAGTTGATATGGTTTCATTATAAATAAATAAGCAGATACTAAACATAAAAGGCAAAATTATCTCCTTTTAGATAAAAAGGAGCATATGGTAATCATTATTCCCTAACATAACAAACTGTTTGCTTTTGGGGAAAATCCATTTAAACTCAGACCAGCAGGTTAACCATGTTAGGAATATATATGGTCAGGTCAGGCATATTTCTAACAGCATTTCTCAAGTGTTTTGGGAAATCACTGAATACATTTGTTCAGTACCATGGTTTTACTGAAGATGGGTCACAACTCTCTGATTATAGACCAGACGTGCATTAAGGAGAAATCTTTGAAGCTGTTGAGAGAAATGACATTTGCCCCATGCATTTGCCACAAATAAATTAAAAGTTATTAACCTTTAATTTGAAAAGATTATCTTTTTAAGTGTACAGCCAGATAAAATTGTTACAGTGTATTAACAATTCCAATATAAACTGGCATGGGGAGAAGGGGGGGAGGATGAAAAGACAAAGCTATCATGTAACAAAGGCACATAACATTTCCTCCTTCTCCTTCTATATTGCTTTTCTCAAGTCAAAAGGTCTCTCGCTACTTACCAAGAAATTAGTAAACTGTAAATTGCAGCACAACCAGAGGAAGAAAAAGGTCTTTCTCCTAGTGTTCAGGACCTCTGGAATAGCTGAACTGTCCTATAACAGATTAAAAAGACTATATCGGTCTTTAATTGTATATGACCTCTGAGAACACAGATGTAGTTCAAACAATGTGTCTGAGATTGGTCCTCAGCTGGTTCAAATTTCTTGAATCTTTGATCCACTTCCCCTGCCTTCTTCCAACTCAGTCCAAAACACATGGTCCCCCTCCATCACTCTTCCCTGAAAGCTGTGCACTTCTGTGGCTGTTCAGGAGAGATTCCAATGCTGCTCAGTTATGCTTTTATGTTTCTACTGTTGGTGCACATTTGCACATGCTTCAGTGCACATAAAATTATTCCACATATGGACAGAATACTAGAATTGGAAGGGACCTCAAGAGGTCCAGTCCCCTGTCCTCAGAGCTGGACCAAGCACCATCTAGATCATTACTGATAGATGTCTGTCTAACCCGCTCTTAAGTATTTCCACTGATGGAGATTCCACAACCTCCCTAGGCAATTTATTCCAGTGTTTAACTACCCTGACAGTTCAGAAGTTTTTCCTAGGGTATGTGTAGACTACATGCCTCTGCCGACAGAGGCATGTAAATTAGACATACTGACATAGTCAATGAAGTGGGGATTTAAATATTCCCCGCTTCATTAGAATAAAAATGGCCACCGCGTTGTGCCGGCTTAGCTGTTTGTCGGCACAAACCGGCAGTCAAGACAGGGATCGGTCGACAAGGAAAGCCTTTGCTGACTAATCCCTTACGCCTCATAAAATGAGATTTACAGGATTGGTCGACAAAGGCTTTCCTTGTCGACTGATCCCCATCTTGACTGCTGGTTCATGCTGACAAACAGCTGAGCCAGCACAACGTGGCAGTCATTTTTATTCTAGTGAAGCGGTGGATATTTAAATCCCTGCTTCATTGACTATGTTGGTATGTCTAATTTACATGCCTCTGTCGGCAGACGCATGTAGTCTAGACATACCCCTAATGTCCATCTTAAATCCCCCTTGCTGCAATTTAACCCATTGCTCTCCAGCCTCCTTTTTTTCTCTTGGATTTATCCCACTGATAGCTACAAGCAAGCAGATAGGATCAGAATGGAAACCGACAATGAGAAATCTGTACTGTTGTATCCCCAACACTAACAGGCTCAGACTTGGGGAAGCTGCCCTCCATTCCAGTTATACCCTGTCAGTTGTTCCTATGGGTTTCCATGACTTCCCTATGCAATGACAAAATGTGTCTGCTTTCAAAATAAAAACTGCAAAATATTAAAGAGCCAGATCCTGACATCTTTACTCCTGTTGACCACTACATTACTGTGCTGGCAATCCCAATGAATGGGTCCAGCAGGAAAATTTGCAAGAGGAGGCAGATTTGGGTCCTTGTCTCAAAGGGTACATCTACACAGCAGGACTAAAGTTGAATTAAACTACCCACTTTCAGCTATGTCAATTGCATAGCTCAAGTCAAAATAGCTTAATTTGGCTTTTGGTGCTGTCTGCACAGCAAGAAGTCAAAGGAAGAGTACTCTTCCTTCATCTTCCCTTCCTCCTTTTAAAATGAAGGTTACCATGAGTCAGAGAAAGAAGTTGACATTATTTTGAAAGAAAGGCTTGTAGTGTAGATGCACACTATGTAATTTCGGAATAACATCAGTTATTGCAAAATAACGCTGCTGTGTAGAGTACCAAAAGTATGTGTACATAGTCAACATAACACTGCTTTTTCGGCTTCTCTTTCCTATCCCTAGACATCGCAGTTAAATGTTGCCCTGTATTTTCTTCCATCAGGAAGGAAGTTTTCCTTACAGGAGCTAAATGATCTGGTTCCAGGGATCATGTGCTACGTTTAGACATGCACTTAAAAGGAGGGTGTTGCAAGATAAATGCTGTAATTAGAGAAACGAAGTCTCTTTGGAAGCTTAATCTGGCAAACAAAGTAGTTGCACCTACTGCTCTAAATATGGAATCTCGATACTATCTGCACTCACGGATCCGTACCCGCAGTAACTTGGCTAAACGTTGAAAGTAGTTAGGCAGATACGTAGCGGGCTCCTTGATTGTAACTACCTGCGTCTCAGCGATTGGCAGGGAAACTGTACAAATGCACCGTCTCCAGCGCCCCGACGTGATTTTAATTAAAGCTGAAGAACAAAGGCTAAGTAGTAGCAGGCTGTTGGCAAAGTGCCCTTGGGAGCTGTACACCAGCAGTCCCCGGGGCATCGGGCGGTGTCGGCGGGGGGCGGGCAGAGAGTATCCCGCCTCCTTCCTCCCTCTGACACGCAGCACCTAGATCTGCCCGTGCGGCTTCTCCCACGCATGGGGGGCTCTGCGGGTCCACTTCAGAGCCCCGCGGCCGCCGCGCGGTGCAAGCACACAAGGCGCAGCAGCCCTGGCTAGGGCGCGCCGAGCACCTCGCTCGCGAAGCAGCGACAGGCGTGGGGACGGGGCGTGGCGCACGCAAAACGACCCCCCGCCCCCGAGCGAGGGTGATGAGGGAAACTGAGCGAAACCCTGCTCGGCCGCGGAATCCAGCGAAGGGGCCGAAGGGGCAGCGCGGAACGCCAA